GCCCCCTGACTCGTGAGCGTCGAGTCACCAGGAGGCGCCCAGACAGTCTGTTCGGTGGGGTCAGGGAGCTGCATTTCTAGCAAGTTCCGGGAGGCGCATGTGTCGCTGGGCGGGGTGGGCCCTGCGTCCACGGCTCTGTCCTCTGCCCGCAGTTCGTGTGCGTCGGGGGCAGCCCCTCCCGGATGAGTGCCTTCGCCAAGTACGTGGCCTCGGAGCTGGGCCTGGGCCGGTCGGGCGAGGACTACCCCAACATCTGCACGGGGACCGACCGCTACGTCATGTTCAAAGTGGGGCCCGTGCTGTCGGTCAGCGTGAGTACCTGTCCCTCGGGCGGCCGGTCCCGGGCTCCGCAGGCCCCTGTCCTCCACACACTGGCCGGTCAGGGCAGGAGGAGGAGGCAGAGCCGAGGAGGCACCGTCGGCCGCGGCCAGCAGTTAGCGCGGGAGCAGGGAGTGGGAGGAAAGGAAGAGAGGAAAGCCGGCAGGTGGGGGGCCGTGCGGGCTGGCTGTGTGACACGGTCCTGGGGGACAGCTCTGTGCTGCCTCCCGAGGTGCACGGCTGAGGTTCGTGCTCTGTGGCTGCTGGGGGTGGGGGTGAGGGCATTGGGGGTGGGGGTGCGGCAGCACACACGGGGTTGCAGAGCCTGACGCCCCTTCCTCCCGCCAGCACGGCATGGGCGTCCCCTCCATGGCCATCATGCTGCACGAGGTGCTCAAGCTGCTGTACCACGCCCGCTGCTCGGGCGTCACCGCCATCCGCCTGGGCACATCGGGTGGCATAGGTGAGTGGCCGCGTGGCCGGGCCTTGCCTGTTCTTAGAATGTGACCCATGAGCCCGGCTGGTGTGGCTCAGTGGTTGAGGGTCGACCCATGAACCAGGAGGTCAGGGTTCAGTTCCAGTCAGGGCACAGGCCCAGGTGCGGGCTCCATGCCCAGGAGGCAGCCGGTCCATGATTCTCTCTCATCATGGATGTTTCTCACTCTCCCTCCTCTTCCATCCACTCTGACTTCAATAAAAACACGTATTTAAGAAAAAATAGAACGTTGCCAGTGCTTCAGCGTGCGGCGTGCCGACGGGCTGGTCTCTCGCACGTGCTCGGTCGCGCCCTCCGCCCCCAGCGGCGGTGACACCGCTTCTGTCCTCAGGTCTGGAGCCCGGTTCCGTGGTGATCACCCGGCAGGCGGTGGACGCCTGCTTCAAGCCCGAGTTCGAGCAGCTGGTGCTGGGGAAGCGCGTGGTCCGCGGCACTGACCTGGACGCGCAGCTGGCGCAGGAGCTGCTGCAGTGCTCCGCGGACCTGGGCGAGTTCCCCACGGTCGTGGGCAACACCATGTGCACCCTGGACTTCTACGAAGGTGCCGGTGGGCTGGTCCCCGCAGGAGCGGGGAGGGAGGAGGTCTCACCGGTGTGTCCATGTCAGGCGCCACGCCTGCTGGGAGTGGCGGTTTGGGCTCCAGGGCAGGTGGCTGGGGGGAGGGTCGAAGCATCCCTGCGCCCTGGTGGGGAGCACCCCATCAGCATGGCCCTCTCCTCGTGTCTGCAGGGCAGGGCCGTCTGGACGGGGCCCTGTGCGCCTACACGGAGCAGGACAAGCAGGAGTACCTGCGGGCGGCCCACGCGGCCGGCGTCCGAAACATCGAGATGGAGTCATCTGTCTTGGCCGCCATGTGCAGCGCCTGCGGCCTCCCAGGTAGGCGGGCACCGGGCCGCCACCCGCTCCCTTCTCCCGCCCAGTCCATCCTCTCGGGTCCCCACCCAGTGTCCCCTCCAGCGTCTGCCTTCCGCCTGCATCTGTCCCCGAGCCTGTGCTGGATGGGGTGACGCCTGTGATGGTCACGTGGCCGAGGGCAGGATTCTCCGTACCTGGGAGCCCCGGGCCACCAGGTGGGCTGAGGACAGTGGCACCAGCTCCCTCAGGTTTTCTGGGCGACAAGCCCACCACCAACCCTGCAGTGGGTCTGGTTTCAGCCTTGGATTTGAGAGCCCTGCCTCCCAGCCGGGGATGTGCCTGGGACGCGGTGGGAAGCGCAGGCGGAAGGAGGAGGAGGCCCCAGACCCTCTGTGCTCGCCGCCCGTCCACATGCCTGTGGGTCCCACAGGCCCGTCTCCTGGGGTGGCAGGTGGCGCCTGGTCTCGTCGGTGCGCTGAGCTGGAAGCCCTGCCCCTCCCGCTGACGGACCTTTGCTCTCCGCAGCGGCCGTGGTGTGTGTCACCTTACTGGACCGCCTGCGGGGGGACCAGGTCTCCAGCCCCCACGACCTGCTGGCCAAGTTCGAGCAGCGGCCGCAGCGGCTGGTCGTCCACTTCATCAAGAAGAGGCTGGCGGGGGCCTGAGGTCCCTGCGTCCCGGAGACGGAGCGGAGCTCGTCGCGGCTACAAATAAAATCGCTGTCCAACCCCCTCTGCGTCCTGTGCACTTGATGAGGGAGCCCAAGGCGGCCTCCGCCCCAGGGTCCCTTGGGCTCCAGGGAGCCGTTCATGCGGATCGGCCTGATCGGGGTTTTCCGTGTGAACTTCCCTCTGAAATGAAAGTATTTCTGGGGGGAAATTTCAGACTTTTAAACGCTAATGGTTGTCAGATTTCACATCGCTAAGCAAGAGGTCTGATTCTAGGGCCAGACATTCCCTTCCTCATGTCACTCCACAGCCCTGTGCAGCGAGAGCCACGAACACGCAGAGGCAGCTACAGGAGACTGAGGAGGAAATGCCCCCAGGAGCACACGCACACGCGTGTCACGGCGGACCCTGAGCAACACGGGTTTGAGCTGCGCAGGTCCACTCAGACATGGAGTTTTCCTTTTTTAGAGGATTTTTTAAAAATTGATTTTTAGAGCGAGAGAGAGAAACGTGGATTTGTTGTTCCACTTATTTACGCATTCATTGGTTGATTGCTTCTTTTTAAAAAATCCTTACCTGGGGATATGTTTTTGTTGTTAATTGGTTTTAGAGAGAGAGAGAGAGAGAGAGATGAATCAGTTGCCTCCAGTACACTCCTGACTGGGGATCGAACCTGCAACCATGTCACGTCCAGTGACACTCTGACCAGCCAGCAGCCCAGCCTGGGCCAGACGCGGGGTTCGTCGTTGGACCACAGCTGCATTGCCATGCGGTGTACACCCACACGCTCCGGGTGACTGGCGGGGGGACTGTCGCGTGGAGGCCCGGCTCTAGTTACACCTAGACTGTCAACTGCGCGGGCGGTGGCCTCACCGGGTGTTGCTTCCCCGTCCACGGTCTATATGCAGTTCCCTCGTCGCACACAGCCGCATTTCCGGAACCTTCTGTGTCCACCTCATGATGCTGCCATAACGGGCCGGTCCCACACGCAGCCGACGGGGCTGGGTCCTTGGGCCTGTGGGTTGGGATGGTCACGAGTGGCGAGTCGGCCGAGGCTCGTGGAGTCCACGTCAGGGTGGCCACTCGCTGGTGTTGGATGCTGTCGTGAGCACCGGAGGGGTGTTTCCTGGCTGTGCCCGGAGGCCCCCTCCCCCCGCCTGTCCTGCGCCCCCACCATGTCTGGCTCTGCTCTGGCGGTCAGCGGAGTGACGGGGGCAGGGCAGTGTCAGACCCGGGGGTGTCGCTGTGTGTGGCCCGTGCACTCTGTCGAAGGCCCTTCCCTGGGACCCTGAGTCACTCCAGGCGGAGGGTCAGGTCGGCTCAGAGGAGGAGCCCCTCCCTGCTGGCGCCTGGAGGTTGTGCTGTGAAGAGGCAGCCAGGGGCTCTCCCTCGCCCCCGGCAGTGGCTCTGCTGCCCCGACCAGGAGGCTGACCAGGAGGGAAGCGCTGGAGGGCCGGGCGTCAGAGCCCCCAGGGAGCCTGTCCGCAGTGACCCCGGCCCGAGGCGCAGGACCCGAACTCTGTCCTCTGGCCCCAGGCCACTGTCCTCTCTCCCACCTGTCCCCAAGTTCCCAGTGCCCCAGACTCCAGCTGGGTGTTGCCCGTCCAACCTCAGCCCCCGCCGAGAGTGGCCCCGGGGCCAGTGCGCCGTGGATGCAGGCTCACTTCTGGGTGGATAGTCTCCAGGCCCAGTGGGCCGCAGCCCCACACTTGCCTGGGAGGGGGGAGGAACTCATCACCTGGCCTGTGGGGGCCCCTCCCACCCTTCCCAGGCACCTGTGGCCTCTAGGGACCTGGCCACTCCTGGGAGCGCACCTGGCCAGCAGAGGGGGCACCCACACTGGGCAACTGGCACATTGAAGCTGAAGAAGCTCCCCCCGAGCCAGAGAGCTGGTCTCAGGGGCCGCCTCCCAGAACCCGGAGCTGAGGCCCCCGAGGGGCGGGGTGGGGGGACCAGGGCTCCCATGAGGACCTGAGGCTCGAAGCCGGCCTGCACCACCTCCTGCTGGCCGCGGGTGGGATGACACGTCACTTACCCCACAGGTGCTGCCTCTGTCAGCGGGCGGCCCCTCCATGGGGCGACCCTTCCTACATGGCTGCGTGAGGCTGCGAGATGACCTCATGGGGCCGGACAGTGCCCAGCGCAGGGAGCGCCCTCTGAGCAAAGGAGCTTGTTTTAATGGGATAAGAATACACTTCTATCCGGACAACTGAACTCGGAATTTAGTCTGGTTACCAAGGTGACTCGAGGTGACCTTGAAAACGCCCTCAAACACGTGTACCTGGATTCCTCACTGCACGGCCACCCACCCGGGTCCTGGCCTGGTCCCGGCTCCCTCCCTCCCCGGTGATGAGAGTGGCCCTCCGAGCAGGGGCAGGTGACAGCGACACTATGCCCTCGCTGCCTGGGCGGGTCAGAGAGAATTGGGGACGATGCTGGGTTTGTTCTGATGGAACTATCAGGTCCGAAATGGGAAACTGAGTCTGGTGTCTCAGGCACCTTGTAATTGGGGGGTGGGGGGGTCTCGGGGAGAGGCGTTCAGGTGTTTTCATGGAGAAATACTATTCAGCGCAAATGGAAGGTGGGAGAGTGTGATTTAGGCCTCAGATTCTCCAGTGGGACAGGCGGGAACCCTCCTCACCGCCCTCCTGCCCACCCACTCGGGTGTGGGAATGGAATGAGAAATCCATTCCCAATGGATTGCTGGGGGGTCCTTTAATTTCCTTAGCTCCGAGGGCACCAGATAGCACGGGAAGATGAAGATGAAACCTCGGGTTTCTATCCATTTGTTGTCTTTGGAACAAATATGCTTTCACTACAAGTTGGAATTATGGTTTTCTATTAGAGCGAGGAGCAAGACTAATTCAGATTCATGAGAAGTTATTGAAATTAGCTGGATGGAATTTCAGTGTCAGAGAAAATGAGTTATTTAAATCACCCAAGAGGTTATTTATTTTTTCAGGATTTATAAATTACAATTAAATAAGGAACATTTGGGTCATGCAAGTTCTTTCAACTCTAAAACTTCTAATTGCTTGTTGCCCCTAATTCTAATAACGCTTTTAAACCGAGACAAAGAGGCCATTTCACCTGAAGCTGCGGAATAATTTACGTTTCAGTTTTCAAACTGCATTAGCATAACCTTTCAGAGGGACCAGCCGCGCGTGTGTGTTAATCTCCTACATCCAGGTTTGGGGCGCGCTCACCCGCGGGAGCTCATCAGCTCTGGCCGGAGCACGTTACCTGCAGCGGGGCGTCCGAGCAGGCTCCGTGCGTGGGGAGGGACGGAGACGAGGGCCTCAGCCTCAGCCCTTCCTGTGCTTTTTAAATTGATTTCAGGGCGAGGAAGGGAGAGACAGAAGCATTGATGAGAAAGAAACATCTATGGGCTGCCTCCTGCACGCCCCCTACTGGGCAGGTGCCTTGACTGGGAATTGAACTGGCGACCTCTGGGTGGTGCATGGGGCGACATAGCCACTGAGCAACCCTGGCCAGCAGGTCTGGCTGTCCTGGATTCAGTCCGTCCTCTCCGCGGTGTGTGCCGGCCTCCTGGCCACCTCTCCGCGGACTCCAGCCTTAATGGGAAGGATCTAGTTGACTGGCAGGGGAGAAGGGATGGGGTGGGGAGGCAGCAAGGAGCGGACGCGGGCCGGTCCTGTGGTCCCTGTAGGCACGGAGCAGCGGGGGACCCAGCGTAGAGTGACCGGCTCTCCTTCGCGCAGCCTCCGCGTCAGAGCGGGTCCCCGGGACGTTCCATCCTCAGGACCCTTTCAGACCAACGCCTGTCCGCCTGCTCCATGTTCCCTCCGGCCCTGGGTCAGTGCAGGCCCCGCCTCAGCCGCCCAGCCGGCCTCGCCTGCAGGCGCACACGGGCCGGCTTAGCAGCTGGGCCTCCTTTGTCAGCTGCGGGAATGGGTCCCTGGGTGGTCATGACCCAGGCCCGCCTGCAGGCGCAGGTCAACAAGTCAGCTGTGATCCCACAGTCCTGGAGCTGCATGCAATCATGTACGTGCATGCAGACTGGCCGGTACAGACCTGAAATAGGAGCACCCCATGGCTGGGGAGTGTCCTAATCCTGGTTTTTAGAAATAATGACAGTCTCCCACGATGGGAAGTGCTGTTCATGTTACCTGCGAAGGACCAGGCGTGTTACCTGCCAAAGGAACCAGGTAGCGACACTCAGAGGACAGAATGGGCCTGGAGAAGGTGAGGCCAGGGAGACAGGGCGCTGGCCACAGCAAACCCAAGTCTGTGCGTGCGTGCCCGTGCGGCGAGCCCCCCCCCC